TTTTTCAATATGTGATGGCTCGTAACTCCAGAACCAGCGGCCCAGAGACATACACTAATGGAAAAGTCACCTTCATGCTAAAGAGCAAAACTGAGCAACTGAAATGTTGTTTCAGAACGGACAAATGCTGTGTTAGGGCCACATCGCACACACCTAATGCTTTACATTCCTTCAGTATGTTTCATTTCCTCATGTAACCCACTGCTTCTCTGTCACCTCTCCCATTCATTTCCATTTTTATAGTTCGTATTTCTCTAGTTTTTCTTTCAATTTTTCTTCACTGCAGTGGATTGGACAGTTCACGTGTGTGGTTCTAGGTATGAATGTCCTGGTGCTGCTGTTACAGATTTCCACAGACGGGAAGGTTTAAACAAGATAATTTTATCCTCTCCCAGTCCTGGAGACCGGAAGTTTGAGATCAAAGTGTCTCAGGACTGCGCTGCAGGGAAGGCTCCTTCCTGCCTCTCCCGGCTCCTGGGGGCTCCAGCATCCCTGGACTTGTGGCCGTGTCACTGCAGTCTCTGCCTCCGCCTCCACGTGGCTTTCTCCTCTGTGTCTCCTCTGAAGTCTCTTATGAGGACACCTCCCATTGGATTTGGGTCTACCCGATTCCAGGATGATCTCATCTGAAGCTCCTCAAGTTATTCTATCTGCAAAGACCCTATTTCCCAATAAGGTCCCATTCGCAGGCTGTTAGGGCAAAATCACCGATGTACCTTTTTGGGGATCTCTGTCCACCCACTCCACTGAATTTTGTTTAGGTCAGGAAGTGATCTGAAATCTACAGGAGAATTATTTTTGCTTATTGACATTTCTGATCATCAATGAGGGTGTCATTTGAAAGCTCCATTTTATAAGGTATTTCCATTGCTAGCATACCTGAATTAGAATATCTAAGTCAAAAGAAGCTTAAATAGAAAACATGACTTTGAGTCAATGAGTCTTTGTTCTGGTCAATATGAGAAAATCTCGGAAGTACAACTTGTGCCTTGGACATGTAGGTATCTAGTATACGTTCATTGGTGGTTGATATGGTTTGGATTTGTGTCCCCACGCAAATCTCATGTTCCAGTGTCATCCCCAGTGTTGGAGGAGGGACCTGGTGAGATGTGATTGGATCATGGGGGTGGTTTCTGATGCTTTAGCAACACCCCCTAGTACTGTCTTGTGATGGAGTTAGAAGATCTGCTGGTATAAGAATGTAGCACTTTCCCCCTTTGCTCGCTCTTCCTCATCTGCCACCATGTAAGGTGTGCCTTGCTTCCCCTTCGCCTTCCACCATGATTGTAAGTTTCCTGAGGCCTCCCCGGCCTTGTGGAACAGTGAGTCAATTAAATCTCTTTTCTTTATAAATTACCCAGTCTCAGGTAGTTCTTTATAGCATACTGAAAGTGGACTAATACAGTTGACTTCTAGATTTTCTTGGATTTAGCTTGGTCTTTGCAGTTTTAAGTATATATATTTTTTAGTTTATTTCACATGTTTTTAAAATTTCTAGATATTACTAAAGATAAGCCTGTTGATTTCTGCAGCAGGACTACAATCTTTTTACTACAGTCAAGAAAGCATAGTACGACAATCTCATTTTTTTATACCACTGTTTTCAAGGCTGTATTTGCATGTATTTCCATCTTTCTGCTGGTCTCCAGGGGTCAAGAAATGGTTTTCTTTGGGTAAAGAGATTTGGTCAGCTTTGCATCCGGTCTCAGGTACAAGTATGGACTCTGCTCCTGCACCTTAAAAGTAGTCACATAGTGAGACCGCATCCCTACATAAAGTCAAAAAATTAGCCAGGCATGGTGACACACACCTGTGCTCCCAGCTACATGGGAGGCTGAGGTGGGAGGATCACCTCCTGGGGGAGGTCAAGGCTACAGTGAACTGTGATTGCACCACTGCACTGCAGCCTGGGTGACAGAGTCAAAACCTGTCTCAAAAAAGAAAGAAAAATATGATATAGTATAATTCAGGCTCTTTCATTTGGCCTGTACACATGTATTGAGCACCTGTTGTGTGCCACATAGTGGTCCATGAATGAGGAATATAAAGAAGTTCACTGCTGGGTGTGGCAGCTTACGTCTGTAGTCCCAGTATTTTGGAAGGCTGAAGTGGGAAGATCCCTTGAGCCCAAGAGTTTGACACCAGCCTAGGCAACATAGTGAGACCTCATCTCTACCAAAAGTTGAAAAACAAAAAAGCAGCCTGGCATGGTGGTATGCACCTGTAGCCCCTGCTGCTCAGGAGGCTGAGGTGGGAGCCAAGATCACACTGCCGTACTCCAGCCTGGGCAGCAGAGCAGGACCGTGGCTCAAACAAAAGTAGTTCACTGACATTCACGTGCAGTTTATTGAGGGTGCTGTTTATACCGCTGTGTAAGCAGGCTCAATACCGAGCTCTCCAAGGTGGAGTCTATTAGGTATTGCTTGTACTGTAGACAGAAGAAAGCCTTAAGAAGTGTCCTGTTTTTGGATATAGTGGCGTATTCACCACATAAACTTGAACAATTATTTTATGTTTAATTTATTTATTTACTCCATCTCGCTCTGTTGCCCAAGCTGGAGTGCAGTGGTGTGATCTCAGCTCACTGCAGCCTCTGCCTCACAAGTTCAAGTGATTCTCCTGCCTCAACCTCCTGAGTAGCTCAGATTACAGGCACCTGCAACCATGCCCAGCTAATTTTTGTACTTTCAGTAGAGATGGGTTTGACCATGTTGGCCAGGCTGGTCTGGAACTCCTGACCTCAGGTGACCTGCCTGCCTCGGCCTTTCAAAGTGCTGGGATTGCAGGCATGAGCCACAGCACCCGGCCTATTTTATATTTTATTTTATTTTGAGACAAGGTCTTACTCTGTCACCCAGGCTGAAGTGCAGTGACATGATCACAGCTCACGGCAGCCTTGATCTCCTGTGCTCAAGCCATCCTCCCACCTCAGCCTCCCAAGTAGCTGGGACCACACGTGTGTATCGCCACACCCAGGTGGTTTTTTTAAAGACTGGGTTTTGCCATATTTTCCAGGCTTATTTTTTAAATGGACACATAATAATTGTACATATTCATGGGGTACACAGTGATGCTTTGATACAAAGAATGGAGTAATCAGATCAGGGTAATGAGCATATCCATCATCTCAGTCATTTACCATTTCTTTGTGTTAGGAACATTCAATATCTTTCTACCTGTTTGAAACCATACGATGTATTATTGCTGATTATAGTCATCCTGCAGGGCTATAAAGCACTGGAACATACTCCTCCTCTCTGGTTGTAATTTTGTATCCTTTAACAAACCTATCTCTATCTCTCAGTTCTTCCCTCCCAGGCTTTAGTATCCTCTGTTCTGCTTTATCCTTTCAGGAGATCAGCATTTTTTTAGCTTCCACGTATGAGTAAGCTCAAGTGGTGTTTAATGTTCTGTTCCTGGCTTATTTCACCTAACGTAACGTCCTTAGGTTTCATCCATGTTGCTGCCAATCAGAGGATTTTATTCTTTTTTATGGCCGAATAGTATTCTACTATGTAAATACCTCCTTTTCTTTACCTATCTGTTCATCTGTTGATAGACACCAGGTTGATTCCCTTTCTTGGCTGTTGTGAATAGTGCTTTGGTAAACACGGGCGTGCTCGCGTGCTCATGTCTGTCCGATATCATGACTTCCTTTCCTTTGAATAAATACCTCGTGATGTGATGGCTAGGTCATATGGGAGTTCTATTTCTAGTTTTGAGGAACCTCCATACTGCTCTCCATGGTGGCTCTACTAGTTTACATTCCCACCAACATTGCGTAAGAGTTCCCTCTTCAGCCAGGCCCAGCGGCTCACGCTGGTAATCCTAGCAGTTTGGGAGACCAAGCTGGGTGGATCGATTGAGTCCAGGACTTCAAGACCAGCCTGGGCAACATGGCGAAACCCCACTTCTACAAAAAATACAAAAATTAGCCGGCATGGTGGTGGGCGCCTGTGGCTCCAGCTACTTAGAGGGCTGAGGCAGGTCCATTGCTTGAGCCTGGGAGGCGGAGGTTGCAGTGAGCTGAGCAAGACCCTGTCTCAAAAAAAAAACAAAAAACAAAAAACAGTTCCCTTTTCTCCACATCCTCGCCAGCATTTGTTATTTTTGTGTGTATGTGTCTTTTTTTTTTGAAATGGAGTCTCACTCTTGTCACCTAGGCTGGAGTGCAATGGTGCAATGTCGGCTCACTGCAACTTCCACCTCCCAAATTCAAGTGATTCTTCTGCCTCAGCCTCCAGAGTTGCTGGGATCACAGGCATGCGCTACCATACCTGGCTAATTTTTGTATTTTTAGTAGAGATTGGGTTTCGCTGTGTTGGCGAGACTGATCTCAAATTCCTGACCTCAGGTGATCCGCCTGCCGCAGCGTCCGAAAGTGCGTGGGATTACAGTGTCTTTTTGATCATAGCCATCTTAACTGGGATGAGATGATTGCTACCTCACTGAGATTTTGATTTGCATTTCCCTGATGATTACTGAGTTGAGCATTTTTTTCATATACATGCTGGCCTTTTCCATGTCTTCTTTGGAGAAATGTCTGTTAAGACCATCTGTCCATTTTTTAATTGGGCTGCTTGTCTTTTCGCGATTGAGACGTTTGAGTTCCATGCTTGGTCATGGTGGTGGATTCACCCCGATAAACATGAGAGCCTTTCTCTCCAGCATTAGCACACAGGTAAGGAATGGACTGGTGGCCTCTCTGAATAAGATGCCCGAAGGAGTTGCCTTCTGCTCAGCAGCCGCCTCTCTAATGGTCTTTCTGCCCTCTCCAAGGGAGCTTGCCCTGCACTGGGGTGCAGCACATGATGCCTTGCCTGGTAGAACATCTGACTGTCACGTGCTTTCAGATCGGGACGACATCAGTGTGCGGGGGAGGAGTGCATGTGGAATAGATTATCTCCTGCCTGTGTTAAGCAGAAATAGCTATCGTTGCAAAGCACGGATTTTTTCCATGCTTCCTCCCCACTAAAAATACGTGTTTGTTTTTCTAACAGGTTTCCTCCATTTTTTGATGACAACCCGTTTGGCATTTATCAGAAAATTCTTGCAGGCAAAATAGATTTCCCCAGGCATTTGGATTTTAGCGTAAAGTAAGTAAACCGTTTGCCTCGTCATGGGGTGTGTTTATTTTTAAAGTGTCTAAAATCACCGTGAAAACATGCACTCAGCAGGATACCATATTGCATTATTAAATGTGCTGCGCATAAACTATTTTGGACAGTTGTCTTTTCCACACACACAAAAAAAGATTTTAAGTATTCTACTGTAATGATAACTTCATATTTTTATGACTGTGGGCCGTATTTCATTCTTTTGGTAATATGTTATATTTAAAATGAGCCAATGAACAAATTTGTCATCGAATTTTATAAGAGAGCAGTTTTGGAATTTGACAAGCAGGGTCCTCCTAGTTCTGTGGCTAGCAGAGCTGTTGATGGACTTAGCAGAGTCTTATCCTTTCTCTCCTGCTTTAATTATGCTCAGCCTAAGTCCTTTTTAATGTCAACATTTTCAGTTCTGAGCATGTTGCTTCAAGAACATTTACAGTTGCTGGATATTGGCGACTTTGGATGCACATTTTATTATGGTTATGGCAGTAGAGAAAGAAGATATTTTATGTTTAAGAAAATAATATCTTTTTCTTATAATTTGTACAAGATATAAGATAACATCTTACATCTTAAATATAAGAATGTGGCTGGGTGCAGTGGCTCACGCCTGTAATCCCAGCACTTTGGGACGCTGAGGCGGGCGGATCACGGGGTCAGGCAGGAGATCAAGACCATCCTGGCTAACATGGTGAAAGCCTGTCTCTACTAAAAATACAAACAATTAGCTGGGCATGGTGGCACATACCCGTAATTCCAGCTACTCAGGAAGCTGAGAAGGGAATCGCTTGAGCCCGGGAGGTGGAAGTTGCAGTGAACCGAGATGGTGCCACTGCACTCCAGCCTGGGCGACACAGTGAGACTTCATCTCAAAAAAAAGAATGGTTTTGGTTTTCTGTCTACCTTACTCAATCTGGTCACCTGGAAGCCATTTTTACTGTAATAAGCACTGATTTCTGTTTGTTTCATGGTATTTTTCAGATGAGTTGATGGGCGCACCAGCCCCCCAGGCACAAACTAGAGCTAAATGCATTTAGTTGAGAATTAAACTTTTCTTTTCTGTGGGCTATTTGTTTAGGAGCTGGTGGAATTTCAGTTCAGAGAAGACTTATTTCCGGGCGCTGGACCAGGCTGTTTTGAATATGCCTTTATGGGGCCCCTGGTTACCTTCAGTTGAGTTTCTTGGTGGCGAATGTTCCGCATCCTAAGCAGAGCTTCTTAGTCTGAATAGAAGATAGGGTCGTGTTTTTATTGGCTTGAGCTTATGTTGTGCTTGACACGCTAGAGGCAAGCTTTAAAAGGCTTTAGCGAGAAAATGAGGCTTTGCTTAACAATGAGTCACCTAGAAGGGACACCCTGTCCAGTGAATGGGAAGGCAGGGGAAACAGCACCTCAGAAGCCAGCTGCTCTGGAAGGAAATAGAAAGGTTATGTAGACCTTCTCTCCCAGGCCGCAAATCCCATCTGAGTTGAGTGACATTATATCCAGTGGATGGCAGAGCACTTTCATGATCAAGTTTGGCCAGGTGAGAGGCTCATGCCTGTAATCCCAGCACTTCAGGAGGCTGAGATGGGAGGATTGCTTGGGGCCAGTGGTTTGAGGCCAGCCTGGACAATGTAGCAAGACCCCATGTCTACAAAAAATTAAAAAATTAGCTCGGCATGGTAGCGTGGCCTCTGGTCCCAGCTACTAGGGAGGCTGAGGTGGGAGGACTCCTTGAGCCCAGGAAGTCAAGGCTGCAGTGAGCTATGATTATGCCACTGCACTCCAGACTGGGTGAAAGAGTGAGACCCTGTCTCAAAAAAAAAATTAAAATTAAAAAATAAATATACATACACATATAAGTATATATATGTATATTGGCTACCTATATTTATATATGTGTAAATATATATACACATATATACATATGTATATATATATACATATGTATGCATATATATGTGTGTGTATATGTGTGTGTGTACATGTATAGATATAGCGAGAGGTTTCCAATGTTCTGTGGAAACAAAAAAAACCGTGAATTACAGAAATAGAAGAAACCAGAAGCGTGATCAATCTGGTCTCTTGCCGCTTTTCTTTGCTTCTCTCCTAGTGTACCTTGGTTGAGAGTAGGGAACCAGCAGTGGCCATCTTGGTACTGTCTGATGTAACATGCCTCTCTGCGCAGCGCCCAGCCCGCAGGGTTCCCACAACGCCCCTGTGTCTTCACATACCCAGTGCGGGTCCACCAAGAGCAGGAACAGTGGTAATTGAGTAAAACTTCACTTCTTCCCATTATTTGTTGAATGTTGTCAAATTGGCTGGGAAGCAAGATCTCAGTGACTCGTTACCTTTCCTCCTTTTGGTAGAGATCGGTATGGGGGTCTTTCTGCGTTGCCCAGGCTGGTCTTGAACTCCTGAGCTCAAGTGATCGTCCTGCCTTGTCCTCCCCAAGTGTTGAGATTACAGGCGTGAGCCGCTACACCTGGCCTTAAAGATGCATTTTTCTTATCCAAATCACTGTCCTGGTTGTCCATGATGCTAGAATTTTGATTCTTAGCTTTTTAAAGTCATACGTTAGTTTCTGCAACTTTTGACTGGCTAAGCATGTCGCCTGGGCAAATGGCACGTCAAAATTGCGATTCCTTGTAGAAATACATATCATTTAACAGAAAAGAAAAACACCAAAACAAAGATTTGGGACTGGTTGCCAATTCAGTAGAGGTATTATCTGCTGGTGTGTTTTTCATGCCTGAAAGTATCTGCATCCGAAAGCAGCCAGCTGGTGCCAGGATCATAAGTACAACTTAGAGTTTTGACTGTAGTATATCAAGAGAGTTCCAGCAGATGTGTCGCCTATCCTGGTAGGGTTAATGGACCCATCTACACCTGTGGACACTTCTATTGTTCCTTTATAGGGCTTTGCATCTTTGGAGGGGCCCTTCTCATCCACACTCATTACTTTCTAAACTGCTTTACAAGAGTTTGCTTTGGTATTTTACTTTTTTTTCTTTCTTTTTTTTTTTTTTAAAGAGACGGGTGTCTTGCCCTGTCACCCAGGCTGGAGTGCAGTGGCATAATCAGAGATCACTTCAGCCTCGATGTCCTGGGATCACATGATGCCCCCAACTCACCTCCCGAGTAGCAGGTGCTACAGGCATGCACCACCATGCCTGGCTAATGCTTTGATTTTTTGTAGAGACGGGGTCTTACTATGTTGTCCCCGTTGGTCTTGAACTCTTGGTCTCAAGTGATCTTCCCACTTCAGCCCCTGCGTAGCTGGGATTACAAGCCGTTGTGCCCTATATTTTAATAAATCTTGATTTTCTTAGATGCCAAACACCAAAAAACTTTTTTAAAAAATTCAAGGTCATCAAACACTTTGCTTTCTTGCATGCCAAACACCCCTCTTCTCCCACCCGAAAAAAATAAATAAATAAAAGTGAAGTTGACCTGGTGCGGTGGCTTGTGCCTGTAATCCCAGCACTTTGGGAGGCCGAAGCGGGTGGATCACCTGAGGTTGGGAGTTTGAGACCAGCCTGACCAACATGGAGAAACCTCGTCTCTACAAAAAATTCAAAAATATTAGCCGGGCGTGGTGGCAGGCGCCTGTAATCCCAGCTACTCAGGAGGCTGAGGCAAGATAATTGCTTGAACCTGGGAGGCGGAGTTTGCGGTGAGCCGAGATCACGCCATTGCACTCCAGCCTGGGCAACAAGAGCGAAACTCCGTCTCCATAAATAAATAAATAAATAAATAAAATTGAAGTTTATTAAGGTGATCCCCAAAACATTCTGAAACAAACGTGGGTTTTTCCTCCCCATAATTTACAACATTGCCTGCCCCATAAGTGTACACACTTAAACCTGGGATTATAAGAAAACAGAGGTTTATTTAAAATATGAAAGCATAAATAAACCTTTCTTATAGTCCATTCCAGTGAGCTTTAAGTGTGTGCGCTAAGGGGGTGGGCAGTGGTGTAAGTTATATGGGAAAAAGCCCCACATTTATTTGGGAATATTTTGGGGGTACAGTGTTTGATGACCTTGATTTTTTTTGGCAGGGGGGAGCATGTCAAAATAATGAAGGAGAAACTAAGTAGTGGACAGGTTTCTACCTTTTCAGTGATTGTTATATTCCACACCCTGCTCAAAGCTTTTCAGCCTTACACGATGGATACAAAAGCCCAGCCTTAGGTGGGCGGACAGATGGTCTCTGAGTTTTACTTTGAGGCAGAGAAGCAGTAAAGTTTGACAAGCATCCTGTCGTAATTCAGGAAGCATGGCTTTAGGAGACTCTGGTTATAGGTACTGCTTGCCAGAATTTCAGATCAGACAGGATGGCAAGATTCACAGTCTTGATGGTGGAGTCTGACCCGGGCCGTCACCTGGCTTGTGGGAGACTCTGCAGTCCATCACAGAACCCAGGAGTGGCCCAGTCCAAGTTTGTGCTACTCACCCTGGGGCATAGTTTATGCCAGGAAAGCCTAGCCACTTAAACCGGGGTCATGGGTATTGGATTGTTTTTGGAGACTTCAATATATTATATTATTACATCATATTATGTATATTATTATTCATAATATACTCTGTGTATTACGTGTGTACACACAGACACACATTATCATTTCTACTTCCATAAATATACATCTTAGAACTTGCCTAATCTCCTGGAAGTCTTCGGCATCATCTCCAACTACCCATCCTAATTGAACCAGTTTGCTGTATTATTATTATTATTATTATTATTATTATTTTTGAGATGGAGTCTAGCTCTGTTGCCCAGGCTGGGGTACAGTGGCTCAATCTCAGCTCACTGCAACCTTTGCTTCCTGAGTTCAAGTGGTTCTTGTGCCTCGGCCTCCCAAGTAGCTGGGACTACAGGCACGTGCCAGCATGCACAGCTAATTTTTTTTTGTTGTAGAGATGGGGTTTTACCATGTTGACCAGGCCAGTCTCGCACTCCTGACATCAACTGATGCACTCACCTCGGCCTCTCAAAGTGCTGGAAATACAGATGTGAGCCAGTGTGCTTGGCCTCCTGCTCGCTGTACTTCTGAGATGGTCTATTGTTTAAAAGGAAGATGATGAGTAAAGAAGCAGACTGAAGAGACTCATCCTTATTTGTGTGCTTATGGGAGAGCCAGCCTTTTCAAACAGGAACCCCCATAAACAAGCAGGCCCCCAGGGCAACGAGTGGCTGTGAAGGCAGATGTCTTCTATTTTGCAGGGACAGCCTGCCAATCACGTATAAACTTCACCCTTTCCTGCTCACAGGTGTATTTTTTTTTTTTTTTACAAAGATGTAATCAACCGTCTTCCCTTAGCTTCAGCAGTGCGTGGGCAACCCCGCCTCGCATAAGTTATTTAAGAGCTGCCGCAGTAGGAGATAGCACTAGAAAGTCTTGGTTTCATCGTGGGTACCGTTATCTCTGTGGCCCTTGTTTGCTGATGTTGATATGTAATCTGTGCACTTTTTTTCTTGTCTCCTTCCCCTAAATAGAGACCTCATTAAGAAACTGCTCGTGGTTGACAGAACAAGGCGGTTAGGTAACATGAAGGTGAGCGTTTGATCCCGTGAGTATTAAGTGGCACCCGATGTGCGTGTCTGTCATCTTAACACCAGCGTTGACATGTGCAGATAGAAACCAAGGCCTAGTGGTTGCGTGTAATCACTGCCCAAATTTCAAATCCTGTGTTTGATTGATTGATTGATTGATTTTACTTGAAATCGCCAGGAAAGCGCTATGAAATCTGGGGTCCTGGGCACACAGTGTCACACTGGGTCTACACCTTGCCTGCCTCCCCTTCAAGCAGCTAACAGAGCAATGGCAATTCTATATAATATGAACTATATAAAGAGATTTATATACAGAGATATGTACAGATTTATTTATATAATATAAAGTGTGTATCTGTATACACACATCACATTTTTATACACTTTACAAACCATCATACAAAAAGGTCAAAGGAATTTATATATTATATAAATAGATAATTGGACATATATGTAGATAGATTTATCTATAAATATAGATATATATGTATGCATATATATAGATATATAATACAGGTATGTAGATATAATATAAAGTGTGATGCCAGGCGCGGTGGCTCACACCTGTAATCCCAACACTTTGGGAGGCCGAGACAGGCAGATCAGCTGAGGTTAGGAGTTCAAGACCAGCCTGGCAAACACGGTGAAACTCTATCTCTACTAAAAATACAAAAATGAGCCGGGTGTGGTGGCGAGATGTCACTAGGTGATAGGTGTTTTTCAGTTCATTATAATCTTATGGGAGTGCCACCGTACGTGTCTTTCATTGTTGACTGAAACGTCATTTTGAGGCTCATGACTGTAGACACACACCCACACTTTTTTTTTTAAAAAAACAGTCTTGCTGTGTCACCCACGCTGGAGTTCAGTGGTATGATCACAGCTCATTGTTGCCTTGTCCTCCTAGACTCAAGTGATCCTCCCACCTCGGCCTCCCAAGTAGCTGGGACTACATGCATGCACCACCATGCCTGGCTAGTTTTTTCTATTTTTTTGTAGAGAACCAGGCCTCGCTTTGTTACACAGGTTAGTCTCAAACTCCCGGGCTCAAGCCGTCCTCCTGCCTCGGCCTCCCAAAGTGCTGGAATATAAATGTGAGCCACTGCTCCCAACACCCCCCCACACTTTATATAACAGACAGACAGACAGACACACACACACACACACACACACACTCGGTAGTTTGGATACCAGTGTGAGTCTTGGTATATACAGATACTTTATACTCTACATATAAAGTATTTATAAAGTGTGTATGTGTGTATATATATAAATATATGTATGTATATATAAACATATGTATGTAAATGTGTGTGTATATATAAATATATGTGTATATATAAAAATATGTTTGTATATATTATATATGCATGCAAGTATATACAGACACACACATCCTTTAGTATCCAAATTAGAATTTTATCTGATGGATAAAATTTATTTTATTCTCTTATTCACAGCACTCTTATTTACTCTTATTCACAGCATTGCTAAAGGTAAAACTCAATAGCTGTTTGTTGCCTGACTTAGCTATAGATAAAAAATACCTGTTTTGCAATAAGAAAAGAAAAAGTTGTCAAAACAACTGGATGGGAAAACAGTAGTGAAAGTTCACATCACTGTTTGCTTTTGAAGATACAGTCATGGACATATTCCTCTTTAAGGATAAGAAATTTAAAACTACAAAAATGCTAACTGATGGACGTGTTAAATTCATACGTACTGCCTTCTATTTCATGGAACCCACATGTTTATTTCTTCTGCTGTCCCACACTGAATTGATAACAAGATCACTACAAGTTAAAAACAAGGAAGCAGAGTGAGATTTCAGGCTGAGCGAGGTTTAAGGGAGGGGTGATGGCCGCATTATGAGCCAGCTGATGGCCTGGTGCTGCCCTTGAGCATGAAGTAGGCCAACTTAAACGCACATTGTTAATTGCGAGGCCGTGCAGTGTGGGTTCTAAGATCTCTTAAATTGGGCATCCTTGGTTTGAGTTCTCAGTCTTGTTTACTTGCTGGATCATACTGGGCAAATGAACATCATTCAGTGAACCCTAATTTCTATGTCTGTAAAAATACTGAGTAAGTTTGCCAAGATGAAAACAGGAGACAGACTGAGAAACGAACGGGTGTCCAGTTTTATGTCTAGAGATGAAATCGTGTCTGTCTTTTTAGTTTTTGGTCTGGAGCGCAAGCGCATTGCACAGGAGCAGAATGACTGGACCTGCTTCTGCAATAAAAAAGGGCGAACGAAACACCAAGGGCTTTGCTCGTAGGTTTTCCTAGCAGCTCACCGCCAGGCACAGTTACGCAAAATACAGCAAACTTGTACTGTTGGTTTTGATACTAAAATAATGCAGAGATTCTTTGGGGGTGTTTTTCTTTCCTGCCCTGTCAAAATTCCTCACACTGACGACACGTGTTGTTTCTTTTGAAGAACGGGGCGAATGACGTGAAGCGCCATCGGTGGTTCCGGTCCATGGACTGGGAAGCTGTTCCGCAGAGAAAACTGAAGGTAAGCAATATCAGTGGGTCACTCGGTACGCCCCAGCTCTCCCATTAGTAGGGACAGCCTCTGAATCCTGGGCCTTCTTTATTGATGGCTGATGTGTAATTAATTTATATAATACAAACATTTGTCTAAAACCGTTCATAAGCAGAGTTCCCTACTCTATGAGTGTCTTAGTGCTGTCTCCCTGGTGTTTGTCTTTCTGTGTCAGGCAACATTTGCTTCCCGAGTTTTCTTTATCTGTTCATCCATTGGTGGACACTTAGGTTGATTCCATATCTTGGCTGTCGTGAACAGTCTGAACTGCATGTGCTGCTGATTGGAGTGTTCAGTGGTAGCGTTTTCACCTTTGCACTTCAGTCAAAGGAATGGAGAACCCTTAGAAATGCTTATCCCCAGGCCTCAACTCAGACCCAAGGATACACTTTTTCTTTTTTTGAGATGGAGTCTCACTTTGTCGCTCAGGTTGGAGTGCAGTGGAGCGATCTCAACTCACTGCAATCTCTGCCTCTTGGGTTTAAGCGATTCTCCTGCCTCAGCCTCCGAAGTAGCTGGGATTACAGATGTGCATCACCACACCCAGCTATTTTTTTTTGTATTTTCAGAAGCGGTGGGGTTTCAGTATGTTGGCCAGGCTGGTCTCGAATTCATGACCTCAAATGATCCACCCGCCTCAGCCTCCCAAAGTGCTGGGATTACAGGCGTGAGCCACCGGGCCTGGCCTGATGTGCATCATTTTAATCAAAGTTTTACCTTTTCAAATAGTTTATTGTATTAAATTGCATTTTAGCAAATCAATTTGAATACGTTTTATCTATCCACATTGGTCAAAAACCAAGTCAATATTAAAACATATACATTACCAAGTCTCCCTCTCACCCACTCTAAGCCACCTGTAGGTAATCACCTTTTATTAGACTTTGCTGTGTATCCTTCCAGAGTTTCTTTGTGCTGATAAAAACCCGCATGGATATGTGCATTCTTATTTTTGCCACTCATTTATAAAAAATCTAGAGTAGCATAGTATGTACATTCTCGTAGTCTTGCTTTTTGCACCTGACTATATAATCTGGAGACCTGTCTGCATACCTGGATAGCTTCCTCATTTTTAAAAAAGTGTATTGTATTCCATCATGTGACTGTACCGTAGCTGACTTAATACTATGTATGTGTGTATTTTGAGACAGGATCGCTTTCTGCCACTTGGGCTGGAGTGCAGTGGTGCAATCATGGCTCACTGAAGCCTCTACCTCCTGGGCTCAGGCAATTCTCCCACCTTAGCTTGCTGAGTAGCCGGAACTGTAGGCGCACTGCACCACACACAGCTAAGTTTTTGTATTTTTTGTAGAGACAGGGGACTCGCTATGTTCCCCAGGCTGGTCTCAAACTTGTGAGGCTCAAGCAGTCCTCCTGCCAAGGTTTCTTAAAGTGTTAGGATTACAGGCATGAGTCCCCACACCCGGCCTCCTTCACAATATTTTAATTCCAAGATTGCCGTGTTCATAAACGAAGGGAAGACGCTTTAGTGTTTTCCAAATCATTTTCACTGTTAGGTACAGGTCCAAGCGTCCACTGTTCCTTTCTAACCATGCCTTTGCGTTTCGGCCGTGTCTCACAGCCTCCCATTGTGCCCAAGATCTCTGGCGACGGCGATACCTCCAACTTTGAAACTTATCCCGAGAATGACTGGGACACAGCCACTCCCGTGCCGCAGAAGGATTTAGAAATCTTCAAGAATTTCTGAGGACAGGAGTTCACATCTGGAAGGTATACCTTTCTATTTAGTAATTACTGGAAAATGAGACTGACTCGACCCCACATCCAGATGAGGCTGTGTTTACGGAGTGGGACTTACCTGCATGCGCTCAGAGGTCAGCAGTGAAGCAGAGCAAAGGGGAATGATTCCCAGGGCCAGCGACATAAACACAGCCACACCTGTGACTCCAGGTCGGCGTGTGGTCAGAGACATCAGCATCACAGTCCCGAACCCATCTCCTGGGTCAGAACGCACACATCTACATCAGACCCCTAGGCGATTTGTGTGTGCCTGAATATTTGAGAAGCACGGCTCTTCCGGTCCCTGATCGGAAACGCTGAGCGACAGGCGAACTTCCTTACAATAATTAACAAATATTTTCAAAACTCTTTCTAGGTCCTTTTTGGTTAAAAAAAATAATAATAATAAACGTACCATCATCGGAAATTTGCTAAGCTTAATTCAAGATGACTGGTAAAGGATGTTGAGTCTCTTATTTCTTTAAGCCTTTGAAGATCTATTATTAGTTTTTAAATAATAATAATATTTTTCAGAATCCCTCATGAAATTTGCTAAGTTTTAATTTAAGATGACTGAAAAAGGGTTTTGACTCTGTTATTTCCTTGAGCCTTTGAAAGTCTATTATTAGTTTTGAAATATGGATTAGAAAGAGCTTTCAGTTCCTCCTCAATTCTAAATTGCTTGGTTATATGGCTTCAATTAGGTCTTTCTTCCTGTAACACACAAGCAAGAAAAATACCCAGTGAAGCAAAATATTGTCAGTGATTTGTCTATTTGTTGACATAGCTTGTTTTTCCCATTTTGGTTTCCATTCCCATAATTTTCCTGTAGTCTTCCCAGTTATGTGAAGTGGAAAGCCAATTGGCTAACCGACACCATTTGAAACAGACACCAAATGTCACAATTGCTGATTTGGGAGTGAGGAACCAGCCTGCTGAAAGACAGGGTGAATGAGAAACCTCCATCCTGTGAGGGCGTTTCCATGGATGTACCAAGAAGAAAACTGGATAAAGATTGAAATAATAGAGAACGAAATGCTAGAGGAACGGTGCTGTGATCGTGAGAATATAACGTGTCTCCATGGCATCACTTCACCTCCCATGTGTGCTGAACGTTTTTACAGTGGTGACTGGTTTGAATTAACATGAGAGCGTGTAACTTTATCAACTTCATAAATGCTCGTGAAATGCAGTTGCAGGTTGTGGAAATCAGATGATGTTCATGAATGTGTTGACTTCTTTTTGTTTCTTTGGTCTGCTGTGGGGCTTTCATTTGGTCTGACTTGCCCATAACATTTTACAAATGATGTCTCTCCCGGAAATCTTTAAGATGATGTAAAGACTTGATTTGCTTTAGTATGCAGGACCCCTAATGGATAAGCTACAAGAATAGAACTTCTCTAGTAGAGACCCCTCAGGTGTAAAATTTACTTAAAGAACCAAAAAGCTTCCATTTGATGGATTTTTGTGTTATAATTAGTGAATAGTTTCATTACATCTTGTCCTCAGCTAGCCCTACTGTCCCTGAAAAATACTCCACACATACGAATAACCTTTCTCAATCTGGTGTGTATTCTTGAGAAAGTATGTGTAAGTATTATTTTTGCTAAGTGGAATCATTTTTAATATAGTTTGGCTAATGGTTGTGACTTTGTTTAATGATTTTTTTTTTTTTTTCTTTTTGAGACAGTCTCACTCTGTTGCCCAGTGGTGCGGTCTTGGCTCACTGCAACCTCTGCCTCCTGGGTTCAAGTGATTCTTGTGTCTCAGCCTCTCTAGTAGCTGGGATTACAGGTGCCTGCTACCACACCAGGCTAATTTTTTTTTGTTTTTAGTAGAGACAGCGTATTGCCATGTTGGCCAGGCTGGTCTTGAACTCCTGAGCTCAGGCAGTCCGCCCACCTCGGCTTCCCACAGTGCTGGGATGACAGGCGTGTGTCACTGTGCCCAGCCCAGATGCAGTATTTTAATCCGTCTCAGTAATTTTATTGAAAGTAATTTGCACACCAAACAATCCCTGGCATTTTCAGCGAAGAGTGATTAGGTTCAGGAATTTCATGTAGGAAGATACTTCTTCATGAAGCCAAATCTTCTCCTGTAAAGTAGATGCCAGTTAGGATGAATCACTGCACTTGAGGACAGCTTAAAAACTATGCATTAGCTGCTCATCTTTGTTTGAATCACTGCACATGCCTTTCTGAATGTGGAGGAGGAATTTAGGAGAACTGGCTCACTATGTCTTTTATTTTACTTTGTAAGAAAATATTTTCTGTCTTGCTGTAAGGTTCTCTGAGGAAGCATGTTGAATTGGGGATTTCATTTTTCTTGTGCAATTCATCATCTACTGGTGAATACATATATCTATTTATGGATAAGCATGTGATAGAATATTTCAAAACCTACCTTTAGGCTGGGTGTGGTGATCCCTACCTATAGTTCCAACACTTTGGGAGGCCTAGGTGGGAGACTCACTTGAGGTCAGAAGTTTGAGATCAAGCCTGGGCAACACAGTGAGACCCCATCTCTACAAAAAATAAAAAAGTTAGCCAGGCGTGGTGATACACACCTGTTGTCCCAGCTCCTTGAGAGGCTGAAGTGGGAGGCTTGCTTGGGCCTGGGAAGTTGAGGCTGCAGTGAGTTGTTAGACCTTATCTCAAAAACAGAAACACGGCTGAGTGCGGTGGCTCACACCTGTAATCCCAACACTTTAGGAGGCCGAGGTGGGTGGATCATCTGAGGTTGCGAGTTAGACCAGCCTGGCCAACGTGGTGAAACCCCATCTCTACTAAAAATACCAAAGATTAGCCAGGCGTGGTGGCGGGTGCATGTAACCCCAGCTACTCAGGAGGCTGAGGCAGAAGAATCGCTTGAACCCAGGAGGCAGAGGTTGCAGTGAGCTGAGTTTACGCCACTGCACTCCAGCCTGGGCAACAAGAGCAAAACTCCATCTCAAAATAAACCAAAAAAAAAAAAAACCTTATCTTTAAAACATTCTTCAGTTCCTTTTTATTAGACAGCCTTTCCTCTTAGAATTCAGGCTTGTGGATCCTTGCAAAAAGAATTACAAAGGGGAGTTTTCTGTGTTATTAGGAAAAGGAAACCTTTGTGTTACCGTTGAGATGATGATGATTACAAAATTCGTCCAGTTACTGAGAAACTCACAAAATCTTTCATCCTATTTCATGCTAGAAACAGGAAGATTGGAATGTGCCTGGAACGAAAAACTGTACCTAAGCAGACCGGAAGAAATGACTTCTTCATGCGGCAAGGACATTTCCAGTTTCCTGTGTGCCGTATGTATAGAAACATCAGAGCACAGTTGAAATGAATGGAACGGTCGTTATTTAAGCAACTGGAATTCCACACTGTGGGAAGGGTTTGAAAACTGGCTGTAGATTTGATCTTCTCCTTTAGTGTTGTGCTCCTACTGTGATGTCTTGGTTTTTCTCATAGACTTAAGTTTATAAGTTTGAACTGGACTTGTTCAATTATAACCACATTTTGTGTGTGTGTTTGTGTGTGTGTGTGTGCCTGTGTGTATATATAGAAGTCATTATGGCAGATGCACAGAAATTGTGCAGTGATATAACTGTTCATACTTCACAGAGCCTATAATTATTATTTTTCAATTTGTTTTTTCAAAAATCTCTTGGGGACATCTGAAGGGTATGTTGCATGCATTTAAAAAAATCATCTCATATGCATTTGATAGTTTGGGGGAAGAAAATACCCTGGGGAGATCTACCTTCAGTATCTTTAGTGCTTCCTACCTGGTAACTTGAGACTTTAAAGGAGAAACTGGGAGAAGATATGGGAGCGAATTTATTCCGAGAATGTACAAGGATATCGAAGTTGTTGGAGGAATGTACTGTATTCAAAAAACCTTCTGTGTCACATTCAAAAATTTCATGTGAGCTGGGTGCAGTGGCTTGTTCCTGTAGTCCCAGCACTTTGGGAGGCTGAGGTGGACGGATTGCTTAAGCCCAGGAGTTTCAGAGCAGCCTGGGCAACGTAGCGAAACCCTGTCTTTACAAAATTTACCAAAAATCAGTTGGGTGTAGTGGTGCATGCCTGCAGTCCCAGCTATTCAGGAGGCTGTGGTGGGAGGCTGGCTTGAGCTCAGGGGGATGAGGCTGCAGCGAGCCGTGATTACGCCACTGCACTCCAGCGTGGACGACAGAGCAAGACCTTGTCTTAAAAAAAAATTCATCCTTCACAGGGAGGTGGCTTCCTGTTAAAATTCCAGTTGAAACATTTTGAACAAAATGCACTTCCCACAGTTCACAAATAATTTTCAGATCAGCCCACCTAGAAGGCCGACCTTGATGCAAAGATTTTATTTCACCTTTAGTTTTGGGAAAAGTGAAAACAGAGGATCTGTAGGATGTGAGTGGGTGGCAGAGTCGAAAGGAACCTCACCTATTTCTGCCCAAGTATGGCATTGCTGAAATCTGCTGTGCGTGAGGTCACAGGGCCCAGCTGTGGTAGGGGTCGGTGCATTGAAGAAGTAGGTTCTAGAGCCTTCCAGCAATGCCTCGGTGACAACAAGGATATACCCACACAGATCTCCGAGACCTTCTTCTCCACATGTTCTCTTTGTCATGTCCGCCTTCATCCAGCTCCTTCCACACACAGAATGGGAGCCGAGTATCCTCGGCATGTGTAGTGAAGATGGATGCAGAGAGAAGACACCTGGGTGCCCGTGGTTTCTGATCTCTTCTCAAAACTCAATAGCTTCGGTTCTCCGGAGCTGCTGGGTGTGTTCCTTGCTGCTGGGGCTGTTTTTCCAAGCAGGGTCTGGGAAGAGATTTCTCCCTGTAGCACTTGCTACCTCTCTTTGGCACACACATCTAGTACTGTGGAGAGCTTCTCTTGGGAAAAGCCATACATTTTTTAAAAAGTAGCAAAATGGTAAGGGAAATATAATCAGATTTGACCGGAGTTCACCTACAAATAAGAAGGCACTGGGTCAGGTGTAGTGGCTCATGCCTGTAATCCTAACACTTTGGGAGACTGAGGCGAGAGGATTGCTTGAGCCCAGGAGTTTGAGACCAGTCTGGGAAACATGGTGAGACCTCATCTCTACAAAATACAAAAAAATTAGCTGGACATGATGGTGCGTTCCTGTAGTCTCAGCTACTCAGAAGGCTGAGGTGGGAAGTCACTTGAGCCCAGGGAGGTCCAGGCCACAGCACTCCAGCCTGGGTAACAGAATAAGACCCTGTCTTCAAACAAACAAACGGAAAATGGCAATGGCATTGTGGTTTTGAAGGCGGAATGAAGCGAACATCCACCTTAAGGCTTTAAAAGACGGTGAAGCTACTGTGGTGGCTCACTCCTGTAAGCCTAGGACTTCGGGAAGCTGAGGCAGGAAGATTGCTTGAGCCTAGGAGTTTGAGACCAACCCGGGCAGCGGTGAGACCCCCATCTCTATAAAAAGAAAAAAAATGTTAAAACACAGTGAAATTGCAGAAACAGATCACAATCACAGCCCCCACTTTTCCATCAATGAGCTTTTCTTCCCGTGGAGGTCAACTCAGTAGGTGAGAGTAATTCATAGGTTCAGTAGAATAAACTCTTTCCAATTAATAACTCAGTGGAAAATGATGTTGAGATGGTGAAATGTGGAAATGCTGTATGCAGCTGTGTTTTCAGCCTGTGCTGCTCAGTCACCATCCTGTTTGGATTAAAACTTGAGGACCATCATTGTCTAAAACCTTAGCATGCAGTTGCCATTCCGTTTTATCATGAACGTGAAAAGGTTAAACTGGTGCTGACGCCAGCCACAGGTACACTAGGGCTGGAACGACACGGGAGATGAGCACGGCCCCCTGTGCAATGAAAAAAGTGACACTGTGACACTGTGCACTGAGATGTGGACCTAAAAGGAAAAGCGTTGTCTAATGTCCACTGACTATAAAAATAAATAATAGTAGTAATGTTGAACATTCTACTTTAAAAATTAACAAAGCAATAAATGAAACACTTTTCTTGAGCACACTTTAAAAAAATATATAGACCCATGAGTCCATGTGCCTATTTTAGGTAATACAAAAATAGGATTACCCAGGATTTCATGCTGATTTGAGAGTTAGCGTGAGGCAAGCCTGCAATGCCTTGCCTTAATTGTGAACAGATACGCAGGAAAATGAAACATATAAGCACACTGATGACCTTGTTCTTTATAACATCGTAATCAGCCTCCAGCCATACAAAACAAATGAGAAATTAGAAGCGATTCCAAGAACGTGAGATGGTGTGAAACCTGCTTTCCACCGTCATGCGCATTTCAACATTTGAAGTGACACAGGCCACGTGGTAGCTGCCCAGGGTGGTGTAAAATTTAAATGGTCCAATGTCATGTTAAAACGTGGAACAATCACTATGTATAATTTAAAAATGGTTTACCTGGCTGGGCACAGTGGCTCATGCCTATAATCCCAGCACTTTGGGAGGCTGAGGCAGGCAGATCACCTGAGGTCAGTAGTTCAACACTAGCCTGGCCAACATGGTGAAACCTCATCTCTACTAAAAATACAAAAATTAGCCAGGCGTGTGGTGTGTGCCTGTAATCCCAGCTACTTGGGAGGCTGAGACAAGAGAATTGCTTGAACCCAGAGGCAGAGGCTATAGTGAGCCAAGATCACGCCACTGCCCTCCAGCCTGGGTACCAGAGTGAGACTCCATCTTAAAAAATAAAAATAAAAATAAATAGTTTACCTGGGCAGGCATTCCAAAATTTTTGCATAGATGATCACATTAAACAATCACTGTGCAAAATGTGGAGGAAAACTCATAATAATCACAAAATTTGTATCAGAAAAAAATTACAGATTTACTTTGCTTCATGTGATTTTATGAGTTGACAGTATTCTCTTAAAAGGAAATGCATATGTCACAACAAGAAGTATATTGGGGAAGTCTTGTTTTTCTGAAGGGAAATACCACCAGCCTGCTTTCATAGGCACTGATAAAGCCAGGAAGGAAAAAAGTCACAACCGAATAGTATACACCCTATCTACTGAATTCTTCTGATTCCTTCGTGACACAAGTCTAAATCCTGCTTAGCCTAAACATAGCTATAGCCATCGATGGGCAGATTCTGTTTGCTGTCAGCATGATGGAATAAGAAGCAGGAACCCCCAGCAGTGGGGTAAGAGTGCACGCTTCATCCCCTCAAAATACTGTGTAACCCCCCTCCCTCTCCATGCCCATGAAACAACTGCACAATCACTTGTTAGTGAATTTCTCGTTCAGCGTTCTGTTTCTTTTTGTCCATACTTAAAGGCAAAGTCATTTGTTTGCTTTGAAGAGAAAGCAAAAAAAAAAAAAAAAAAAAAATCATTTGAAATCACTACCCAATAAAAAAAAACTCTACAGTGGAATGAAACAGTTGAGCAGTTTGGGATGTGTTCGCCATTTCTGTGTTTGCCCTGCCTGACGTCTAGTTCTTTGGACCATTCTAACTGTGAAACTATGGCTTAATACTGTTAAAGACCCCAAGGCTCAACTCTGTAGCCAGGGTGCACTTCAGGCTGCACGAATGTGACACCAGAATGTCACGATTGTTCCTCGCTCCAGCTACGGAGTGAACAGCGTGCGAGACAGCACAGCCTGGGTTCTACTTTTGCTGCCAGTTAATTTCGCATCGGGTCTACACAATCCCTGCAGCCTCTGACTTCTCCAGTTGTAGAGATTTGAAATGGGGTGCCCGGTTCCTCTCATTTTTCCTTCAGTCTACCTAGCATACATTTTCCACACATTGGAGGAGTCGTATGTACCGTTTTTCCCTGTTGCTGATGGAGGCCGGAGGCCTTCTCATTAGTCTACCTTAAATGGATGGGATTCAGTGAGCTTCGAAGAAAGCACACGGACAGGTGTCTTAATGCATTTGGATAGTTTCTTTGGAGTGTGTGTGTGTGTGTGTGTCTTGGTGAAGGTGGGGGCTGCATTTTCACCAAGGCTTTTCATCATCAAGTTTGCTTTGCAAACCTTCTGGCCTTGCACCCAGCAGAACAGTCCTTCCTGATAAAAGGGGGATGCTCTATAACAGTTCTCTGTAAATTACCATGTGTGGGGAAGTTCTGTTGAGGCTTAGTTTGATCTCCCATGGTGGACACATCTGTTCTGTATGTAAAAGGCATTAGATGTGTGTTTTAAGCGGATGGGATTGGAAGCCTTCCCACAGTCCTTGTCCTCTGAGATGGCTGTTGAGCTCTGCTCAGCTGTCATAGCTGAATGCTTTTTTGTGCTGAACACTGGGCAGCCTCGCGTGTTGCTAACATGCTTCTGGGACCCCGTGACTGCTGTCGGAGGCCGCGCACACAGGTGGAGTGCCTTTGCGGGTTCCGCACCCCTTGGCAAGCCGGAACTGGGAACCCCGCGGGGTGATCCCGCCTTCTCTGGGGGGGTCGGGGAGGGGAGTGCCTATTTTTAATCTTGTCCATTTGTTGCACAATGGAAATCACTGTGATTTGTACATATGCCCTAGGAAAATTTTACTGCTGTCTAATTTATGTAATAATACTGTTGATTCCAGGTTTGTTTAATAAAACTTTGTATCTTTTAAGAAGTCTGAGTCTGGTCTGCTTCCCTCTCCAAACAAGCTGTGGCTTTTCTCCTTTGGTCTAATCCAGGGATGGGCAGCTGTCTGGAGGGGCCACATGGCAGATACTTTCTGCA